TTCTTCACCATCCAGTTCAAATGTCAATTTCCTCAGAAGCTGTCCATACTCACCGACGGCCCGCCCCCCGCTCCGCCGCAACAAATCGAGTATCCCACGTCTGTGTACCCACAGTGAAGCAGATCACGAATGAGGCAGCTGAACTTTTTAGAAACTACTGACTCCTGGGCCTTCCCCTGATCCTCCTGAATCAGAAGCCTCGGGAGTGGGGCCACCTGGAGCTCTTTTAAAAGCTTCTCAGACAATTCCTATGCACACTCCATTCTGAGTGCTTCGTGTTCATCCTACCCGGGCACTTATCGCAGTCGAATTAAATTGCTGGTCTGTCTTCTCCACTAGATGGTAAGCCAGAGAGCAAATATCCTCTGACTCTCCAAGACCTCAGACGTTGTAGAGTATCCACAACGAGTGAAATCCTGACCCTTCCAAATACTGTCTTAGCTGTGATTAGTTTCCAGTGAAGCTGCTGACTCGGGTGATTAACTTATTAAAACAAACTGTCAATGCACTGGGGTAGAAACAAAGGGAGTGTTTCTTGTTCCCATGCCTTTGGAAACTCCCAAAAGTTCAACTCACTGGTGTGACTAAGACAGGCAAGAATGAACATCTGAACCTGAGCAGTCAGTCTCTCTTGCCTAACTCACTCTGCTGTCAGCGAAACAGCCAAGATGTGGGAAAGCTGGATATTCCAGATGCGGGATAACCCATCGCTTGTCCCGGGGTGTTTCAGTGGCCCTCCCAGTTGCACACGGTCAGTTTATGCTTCTAACGGATGGATGTCAGTTCTGCAACTGCGTAAGAGGCAATAGGCTATGTGTTCACGGAAACAACGAACCGGTTCCTTCCAAGTGTGAAAAACTGAAAGTAAACAATTGTGTGTTCTGCATCAGGAGCAGTTTGGATGTTTTCCAGCCCAGATTTTCGAATCAAGGTACCTTTGCCTCCATCTGTACCAGCTCCAACACCCGCGGGGTTCCGCCCCCCCAGTTCCCACTCGCAACCGGAACATCAAAGACCCCAAGCAGCAGCGGCTTGAAGTGGGTCATCAAACCACACGAGGCAAGGTCACGCTACATGAGAAGAGCGCAGGTGAAATGTCCTCCCCAGTGATTCGTGGTCGGAGCAAGACCAGCCCAGGCGGCTCCGAGGAGCAGTAGGAGGTGGCACGGGAAATGGTTTGACAGCTGTGAAGCCCCTCAGGGGTGCGGGGAGCTCCTGCGCGCGAGGCGGAAGTGAGCCAGGTGCGGGGTCCCGGGATGTTGGGAGGGGATTCAGGGACCTCTGGAGGGACCCGAGTGGGGTCCGAGAAGGGGAACGCCGCACCCCAGCCTCTGCCCGGCGCGCAGGGTGGGGAGTCC